AGGGGAATTGGAGGAGCAGGATCACCAGATGAGGGCGGAGGATGGGAGCGCAGGGGGCAGCAACGACGAGGAAACTACTCCGACGGTAGGACCCCACATGAGAATCTGTTTAGCTTACCCTTTGCCCTTTCCTCCTCCCCCTGGCGGACACCCTCTCCGCTCGCCCTCTGCACTGCCCTCTCTTCCTCATTCTATTCCTCTTCCTACTTCTCCTCCTCCTCCTCCTCCTCCTCCTCCTCCTCCTCCTCCTCCTCCTCCTCCTCCTCCTCCTCCTCCTCCTCCTCCTCCTCCTCTCGCGCCACCTCCTCGTCGTCGCCCTCCCCCATGCCCCTTCCTTCCTCATCCTCCTGTTTTTTTCCATGTGCACCTCCCGTTCCCCCTGGTCGTGGCAAGCAACTCGATTTTCCTCGGCGCCGTCGCCGCGTCGGCCAGCACGCGCGCGTTTGCCGACGGCCAGATCGCGAAGCCGTCGGGACAACCCTTCGGGCCAGGCCGTTGGGGCAACCTCGCAGGCCGCAGGGGCGCGGGAGCCAGCCGTTGGGACAACTCCGCGGACCTCTAGGTGCGCGCCGCGGCGCTCAGGCGGGCGGCAGCACGAAGCCCAGCTCTGCCGCGAGCTGCTCCGCCTCAGCACTGGAATCCACCGCTCTCTTGTCGAACTACTGGAGCGCCTTCCGCAGTTACGCCGGCGGCCCGCGCTCCAGGAACTCTCGCGCGGGCGGCCGCAGGATCAGCATGTTCCGCATGCACGTGGCGCGGGATAACATGACGTAGAGGTGCAGCCGCCACATTTCGTCCGACATGCCCGTGCGGCCAGCGTCCTCATCCCTGGCCCCGATTCGGCTCAGGATGGGTTACCACCCCCGGCCCGGACGCAAGGGGCTACCCCTGCGCCCGGCCGCTGTCTCGTCGTCGTCATCGTCAGCTCCTCAGTCGCCCTCTCGGACGCCGCGGCCGTGGGGCGGCGGAGCCTCTCGGACCTCCACGTTGTCGCATGACTACAACAAGTTTGCCGACGACCAGCTCGGACGATGCTACCCGGACTTCTCAATCGCCCTTTCGGGCACGCAGGCCCATGACAACAACAATTTTGCCCGCGACCAGTTCAGACAGACGAGACCCCCGCATGGTAACTCCCCGGTATTCAGGCCGCAGGAGCGAGTTCTCAAATCCGTCCTCAGACCTCCAAGTGACGACAGGAGACGGTCCTCTGACGGGGCTACCCGCACCGCCCACAGACAAAGTTCCCCCTCGATATTTCCCCCGTGTTCATTCAGGCCGCAGGAGCTGAGGAACCCAAAAAGCTCGCTCGGATGACCCGCTCGGGTTCGAACATGAAGTGCGTGCCCCATAGGGAGGGGCTCCCGCCTGAGACTTCCTCGCAATTCACTCACAGACGAGGCTCCCGCTCGAGAACTCCTTCATATTCGAAAGAGCGTGTTCTACCGCTGCTGGCGGAAAACCGGGGGGGGGTCACTACCGGTTCGAACCCCTCCCCCCCCCCCCCCCCCCCCCCCCCCCCCTCCGGAAAACCGGGGGGGGTCACTACCGGTTCAAACCCCCCCCCCCCCACCCCCCCCCCTGCTCATCATGAAAAGGGGGGGGGGGTCACTACCGGTTCGAACCCCCCCCACCCCCCCCCCCCCCCCCCCCCCCCCTCGAAAACCGAGTGGGGGTGCGGACAGTGGTGGGGACGGTACCGTAGGGACAGTGGTGAGGGGACAGCGGGACAGTGGTGGGGACAGTGGGGGGACAGTGGGACAGTGGTGGGGACGGTAGTGGTGGGGACAGTGGTGAGGGGATAGCGGGACAGTGGTGGGGGCAGTGGGACAGTGGGACAGCGGTGGGGACGGTAGTGGTGGGGACAATGGTGGGAACAGGGGGGGGACAGTGGACAGTGGTGGTGACGGTGGTGGTGGGGACAGTGGTGTGGGGACAATGGGAACGAGGTGGAAACAGTGGGACAGTGGAGGGTACAATGGTGGTGGGGACAGTGGTGAAAGCGGTGGCGAGGACGGCGGTGGGACAATGGGACAGAGGTACAGTGGGGACAGTGGTGGGGACAGTGGGGACAGTGGTGGGAACAGTGGGACAGCTCAGTGGGACAGCGGAGGAGTCAGTGGGACAGTGGGGACAGTGGGGATAGTCGGGCAGTGGTTGGGGCCGTGGAGACAGTGGGGAGAGTGGAACCGTGGTGGGAACAGTTCTGGGGACAGCGGGGACAGTGCGACAGTGGTGGGGCCACTGGTGGGGACAGTAGGGGCGGTGGTGGAACCAGTGGGGACAGCGGTGGTGAGGACAGTGGTGCTGGGAACACCAGTGGGGGATGTGATGCGGACGGTGGTGGGGACCGGGAGTCGTTTGCTGGCGGTGAGTAGGGGAGGGGGGGGGGGGGGGGGGGTTCGAACCGGTAGTGACCCCCCCGGTTTTTCGGATCCGGGGGGGGGGGGGGGGAGGGGTTCGAACCGGTAGGACCCCCCCCTCGAGCGGGAGGGGGGGGGGGGGGGGCGGGGGAGGGGTTTTAGGGGGAGGGGGGGGGTTTTGAGGGGGGGAGAGGGGGGGGGGGGGGGGGGGGGAGGGGTTCCGGCAGGGGGGGGGGGGGGATTTTCGGAGGGGGGGGGGGGAGACCCCCGGGTTCCGGAGGAAAAGGTTGGCAATTTTCCACAGTAAAGCGGCGGTGGATCACGCTCTCTCATTCAAGCCTCAAGAGCCCAAAAAGAGACGACAGTTACAGGGTTCCGATGACCCGCTCGGATTAGTTACGTTATCGGCGGGCCCCATGGGGACGGCGCTCCAGCCTGAGACGTCCTCGCAATTCACTCAGAGACGAGGTTCCCGCCTGATACTTCCTGCATATTCAGGCCTCAAGAACCCCAAAGTGACGACAGTTACAAGGTTCCGATGACACGCTCCGATTCGTGATATGACTTGCTGGCCCCATAGGGAGGGGGCTCCCGCCTGAGACTTCCTCGCAATTCACTCACAGACGAAGCTCCCGCCTGATACTTACTGCATATTCAAGCCTCAGAGGCCCAAAAGTGACGACAGTTACAGGTTTCCGATGAACCGTTCGGATTAGTAACGTGATCGGCGGGCCCCATAGGGAGGGGGCTCCCGCCTGAGACTTTTTCGCAATTCACTCACAGACGAGGCTCACGCTCACGACTTCCTTCATCTTCAAGCCTCAGCAGCTCAAAAGTAACGACAGTTACAGGGTTCCGACGACCCGCTCGGATTAGTAACGTGATCGGCGGGCCCCAGAAGGAGAGGGGTTCCAGCTTGAGACTTCTTCGCAATTCACTCAGAGACGAGGCTCCCGCCTGATATTTCCTGTAAATTCAGGCCTCAAGAGCCCAACAGTGATGACAGTTACAAGGTTCCGATGACCCGCTCGGATTAGTAATCTGATTTGCGGGCCCCATAGGGAGGGGGCTCCCGTCTGATACTTCTTCGCAATTCACTCACAGACGAGGTTCCCGCCTGATAATTCCTGCATGGTCAAGCCTCAGTGGCCCAAAAGTGACGACAGATACAGGGTTCCGATGACCCGCTCGGATTAGTAACATGATCGGCGGGCCCCATAGGGAGGGGGCTCCCGCCTGAGACTTCCTCGCAATTCACTCAGAGGCTCCCGCCTGATGACGAAATTATGAGTGAGCGAATGATGATGATGCGTGTGTGATGCATGAGTGATGATGAGGATGAGGATGATGATGGTGATGGTGGTGATGATGAGGATGATGAGGATGATGATGACGATGATGATGATGGCCACTGAGTGGGTGATCGAGATATTATGATGGAGATGGTGACGATGATGTTGAGAGTGGCGGCGGTCCTACCGTCGGAGGACCACTGCCTCCGAAGCCTTTTGAGGATGAGTGAGTAATTGGGTGAGTGAGTGGGTGATCGAGTGGTGATGATGGTGACGATGATGATGAGGATGATGATAATGATGACTAGTGATGACGGTGATGGTGGTTGATGGTTATGATGATGGTAATGATGATGAGTGTGTGCGTGTGATGACGATGATGGTGGTTGATGGTGATGATGATGGCGATGCTGGTGAGTGAGAGAGAGAGAGAGAGAGAGAGAGAGAGAGAGAGAGAGAAAGAGAGAAAGAGAGAGAGAGAGAGCGAGGAAAGGGGGTGTGTGAGATCCTGCGCGGCGTGTGCGGAGAAAACAAGAACCCCACTTTGGATGGGGGGAAAAACGATCCAGAAGTGTTGTCCGCGCTCGAGCGTGGGCGCCATTCTGAATGGCAGAGGCAAGGCGCCAATCTGGCCAGCGTTGCAGCGGCAACGCAACTTTCGAAAGGCCGAGAACGCACTTGTCGAGCAAAGCAATGATGCAATCCAATATGTTACAACCTTCCGTGCAAAAAACACTTGCCGATAGGGGACGGCACCACCAGGCAGCATCCATCCTCGGGAGGGAGGAGAACATTCATATTGTGCGAGTCTTGCGGGGAGAGGCCAGGGCGAGGAGGAATGGGGGATGATGAGAAGGAAAAGGAGGATGACGGAGGGGAGGAGGAGGAGGAGGAGGAGGAGGAGGAGGTGGAGGAGGAGGAGGAGGAGGAGGAGGAAAACGAGGGGAGAATGGGAATGAATGGGATGGATCGGGATGGGCCTCGCTGTGATGCGAATGTCAAGTGGAAACTGCCTCGCGTGAGCTTGGAGTTGGTCGTGTGGCAAAAGGCACAGCACCGCGGGCGCAAGAGGGGGCGCAAGCAAGAAGCGGCGGAGGCAACATTCTTGAGCGGCGAGGCCAGCGCCAAGAAAGCGCGGACCATTCCCGAGCGTCACCGAGGATCCTGCAGCACGGAAGCAACCGAACGCACGACACCTGGCAGCTCGCGGGGGCTGGGCGTGATGTCGATGGCCTGCACGGCGAGGACTCCACACGCCTGTCGGGGGAGGGCCACATCGCAAACGGGCCCCCCGCGCGCGCGCCTGCGGGGTCCTGGCCGCCCCGCGCTTGCGGCGCGGCTGGAGGCCATCGGCATGGACGCGCTCCTGCCGATGCCAGGGGAGCGCCCGTGGGTGGAGGACCGTCGGCCGTCGCCCGAGCGAGGGGCAGGCATGAGGGGGGGAGGAGGGTCGGAGGAGAGGGGGGTGGGGGAAGGCTTGGGGAGCGGAGGAGGAGGATGGAACAGGGGGTGGACCGGGGGGCGAAGAGGCAGAACAGGAGGAGGAAGAGGAAGAGGAAGAGGAACAGGAACAGGGAGAGGAGGAGGAGGAGGAAGAGGAGGAGGAGGACGACGATGGGCACGAGGAGGACGACGACGAGCAGGAGGAGGATGAAGAAGAGGAGGAGGAGGAGGAACAAGAGGATGACGAGGTGTTCGAACATAGCTTTGCGAATGCGTGAGGAGCTGATCATGACGTTGGAAGTGGACGTTTGGTGTTACCAATGCCGCTTGGCTCAAGTACCCAATCAGCAGATCGTGCCGCACGTTCGCTGTTCAAACATTTTCCCAATACAATTGAATCGTTCCTGTGCGTGCCTTCGTCCAGAATTTGCATGGTCGCGGAGTGAGGTGACTGGCGGCCGCGGCAGCAGGCGGCAGTATCCGCCCAACGGGGAGACCCGCTCCCGGAGTTAAACGCGTTCCACGATCGAGACATATGGTTTTGTTTGGACCCAACGAGTTTCAGCGAACCATGCTGAGCCGCATGCAGTGGAGGAGGCTACACTTGCGAAAGTGGCATTGAGAGCTAATTGCGAGGGGGTGAGAAAGAATTCGTCTACGCCATGATTGGAATGAGAAGTTGTTAATCGCCTTGTTTCAAGTAGACCTCCCGTACAGGAGGGCGTTCGAATACTTAGGAAATAAGCAGGCAGCCATCGAACAAACCGCAGTACATGGCGAGGACGACGATGACATGATCAGGGCCCTCAGCGCGCGGTTAATTGCAGACGACTACGCGAAAGCAAACGAAACGACGCTTAATGGCGAGGACGCCAAGGGAGACTTTGACATAAAGACGGGGCGGTGCGCAAACTAGACGAGGATACGTGGCACATCCTGAATGAAACGCGCGAGGGGCTGGCGCCCCGGGGAAAGTTCAAAGGGCTCCATGAGGGAGATGGATTGACAACGTACCAAGCGGCATACAAGTGGTATTCAGCAGTTGCTGGGGGACCCTGTCTGCTGATATGGGCTTGTCCACAAGCCCTGGCTAACCGAAGAGGATCGGGGGCGTTGCTGCCCAGCAAGCAGCGGACAGCTCCGGCTGAAACGCGGCAGAAGTATGGGCCAGCGTTCTCGTTGAATCTCCCGTTTTCGCATCGCTGCATCGAGGGCCAGAGTGGCCCGTGCAGGGGGCTGGTTCGAGCGTCGGCATCAAGAGCGCTGTAAAACGCCAGGCTCACTCGCTGCTGCAGACTAGCAGCTAGCAGAAACAATATTTGGGCGCGGGGATTGGGCGCGCAAAACGCGGTCAGACGTCGACGCGCGGGACCGCGACTCCGCGGGCGCAGGGGGCGTCGGCGGCAATTGCGACGACCGCCGGGGCGCCCGGGGTTCTCGCGAAGGTTGGAGTGCAGAAGGATAGATATGTGGATGCAGACGGAGACTGGTGGGCCAATGAGAAGGAGTGGATCGACGAGGGCGAGCGCGGCGGGGGAGAAGGAGCGGACGCTGCCAACAAAGGGAAGGAATGCGAAGGGGAAGCTGGAAGGACTTCCAGCAAAGAAGGGCGAGCAACTTCTTGGGCCTGAAGAAAAGTGCATCAGCGCCCGGTGGTGGAAAGCCTGCAAGCTGTCCAGGAAGATCAGGTCTGTCCTTAACCGGATGACGAGCGCTCACTGGAAGACGCGCCATAGGGTCGACGCGACGACGGACGGCTCACTCGACGCCCCCCCCCCCATCATGACTGTTTTGGCCGCGTTGCTTCTGGGAGCTCAATTTGGAAGACCTTGGCCCCCGAATGATCTCGCTTTGCTCGTGAATCTCTCTCAAGACTCATCGGTGGTCCTCACGTCCAGGGGCAAATTAATTGCGCACCCAACCGGGTAGTGTGGATGATGGACATGGCGCCGATAAGGGCTAGGGAGATGCAGCGTGACGAGGTGCTTCTCGAGAAGGAGGTCCAGAGCGAGACTGCCTGCCCAGGTGCCAACTTGGCGGCGCTGGCGTTTATCTGACGTCAGCCTTGAGATGTACTGGTCCTCTTGCGTTATCGAACTGCAGGTGGATCGCATTCGTCGCTCAGGCTATCCCAAGATGCATGTCCGCGGGCAGCGGTGCCAGACCGAAGGCAGCGTCTACGCTGCGACGACGAGGGGGGGCCTTGGATACGGCGCAGGCGAAGCAGCGAGTCTTCGGACGGCGCAGGCTGGAATCGCACGGTCAGGATGTACCTCGCGGCAGCGGCCATCGCGACAACGTTTCGGAGTGTCCACGCGTACCCAGACGAGACGATCGAGGACTCCGACTTCCCGATTCTCGAGGTCAGGCTGGTTCCCAAGCACGAGAGTTGGGCGCCTCAGTGGACCGAGGAGCTCAGCGCAGCAGATCGTTTCCTAGAGCGCACTGGCCAACAGCACGACCAACGCGGAATCAAGCGACGGAGGGTCATGGATCAGATGGGGCAGGCTACGGACGCAACGAAGTCGGAAGACCTCATCATGGACCCCGGGTCGGACCTTCCCTTCAAGGATCTCTCCTAGAGATGCTCTCAAGCCCGATGGACGTGCTCGTGGAACTGTGCGTGCCGGCTGCGCTCCACTGAGGCTCCTGTAGCACGAGGGACGGCTGCGGCATCTTCTGTGCGAGGATATTCACGTTCCATCTTGCGCCTCTCTTTGCGGTCCTTTGTGCGCCGCCATGTCGGCTCACAAGGGCCTTTGAGCTATCATGTCGCGCCAGTGACGGACGCGCCCAAGCCTCGGCGCAAGGAAAGGGAGCGTGCTCTCTTCTAGTACGGGTCCCCCTATCTGTGCCTCGTGTCTGTCTGTCTCCATACAGTCACTCCCGTACAATCCACAGAGGGCGAGGGACGAAGGGGGGGCGCCGAGGGAAACGTCACTGGGTCGTGGGACGGCGGCCCCGTCGATGGACGGAAGCACGGCGCCCCAGACGTGCTTTGTCGTTCGAGGGAGGCTTCAGCTTCTCGACCGAGGGCGGAGACTCGGCTTCCCCAAACCTCCAAGGACGATGCTGACGACGCCGACGACGACGCCGACGGCGACGACGACCACGACGACGACGACCACAACGATCACGATGACGACCCGCAGCGACGACGATGACGACGACGACGACGACCGCGACGACCACGACGACGATGACGAACGACGACGTCGACGACGACAACCACGATGACGACGAAAACGACGACGACGAGGAGCGGGAGGTGTTTTTTCATCGCTTTCGCCTCCAGGGACCTTTGCTGGGCCCTGGGACCGCCAGAAGACGACTCGGCATGAAACGCCCGCCTTGTAGGGGGAGGATGGGGACTTCGGGGGGTCGCGTCTGGAACAAAGCAAATCATCGAACGTCCGTATTTTCCATGTTTTTTTTCCTGGACGGTCGCTGCCCGGAACGGGCCTCCAGAGGGTGACATGAAGGAGAAACCACCATTGCACGAAGAGGTAGGGGAGGAACGAAGACAACGCGGTTCTACCAGAGCCGGGAGGATTCGGTAGGTTTGCGTCGTGTCAACGGGCGGTGGCCACGCTGCTGGCGTTTAAGGTCGAACGCTGGCGGCGGTCCAGAACTGGCTTATCGTTGTACGATCCGGCGTTTCGGAAACGGTCGATCTTCCAAGATCCCCCCAGCGGTGCCAAAAAACAACGCCGGGGTCGACAGGACACGAGCCCGCGGCACGAGAAGTCGGAGGGCAACGTGTACTCACCTGCTTCAAGAAAAGCACCATGTGAGGCATCTGCCGAGTACAGCTCTCACGTTCTAGCCTCAAACGCCAATGGACATATAGGTGTCGTTGCGCATCGAAACACACTCGGCGTGGACCCGTCTTCAGACCACGCGGGCGTTGCGTGTGGCGCACTTCCAAGCCGGACAGAGTGTTGATCATCCGTTCTCGGTTTGAACCCGAGCAGGCTCCACATGGTACTCCACACGGGGAGGGCGCGGGGAGGAGTGAGGAGGACGTGCCCGTGCCGGCGCCCGGGTGCCAGGTGTCCCCTGTTCGGTCGATCGGCGCGACGGAATACGCGAAGCATGGGCGAGAAAACCCAAGGCATGCCCTGCGCATTTTGAGCAGGATTCGCTCATTGGCGGCGATAGGGGGCGAATAGCTCAGGGGCGGGCATTTCGCATTCGCCCTCGGAGCTTCGCCGAAGACATTGATCGTCGGCGCCCTTGGATGCATGTTTTGCCCTCCCCAAATGAGGCGAATTCGCCCCCGTCGTCGTCCCCGACTCGCTGTCGGTGCCCCCGCGGACGATGTCCGTTTGAGGCAAAAGGCTGGCTGCCCGACAGCGGTCGCCGTCGGTGTTGGACAACATTTGTTGTTGGGCATGTTCTCCGTACCCTTTCCGGGCGTCTAAGTGCGAGTCCCGCGGCCCCCTCGATCCAAGGGCCGAGGGGCCTCCTGCTGGCCCTCCCGGAGCTTCCGCCGGGCCTCCTGCTGGATTTCTTGCTGGGGCACTGGGCCATTGCTGGACTTTCGGGGCCTGCTTTCGGGGAACAATCAACAACGGAAACATACACTCTCGGAGGTGCTCGAGGATTTCTCGGATCCGCGCCAGAGCCCCCTGGCGGCGCCTCCAGCGCCGATCCGAGACTTCCGCGCGGGCTCAAAAGTTCATGTTTACGTATTTTGGTTGTTCCCCTCTATCTTTGGGCTGGAAAGCTCCAAGTCACTCCAGGGGTCCGAGCATATCTCAAAGGCCTCCAGAGGAATCTAGACGGCGGTTCCTCGCCACCCAGGCCCCAGGGCCGCCCAGGGTGAGAAGCTGGTACTCGGAATAGGAGGACGTGGAGGCATGCTGAGGTCCAAGGCCTTTCTATGCCGGCGCGAACAATGGGATGGCGCGAGGGGGGCGGCATTCTAAGAAGGCTAGGGGGTGCTGGGAAGATTCCGGGTCCTTTCAACGAAGGCCACTGCGCAGCACTCTGCCGCGCGCCACAACAATGTGCGCGCCGCCAACCTCCTCTGCCTCTCGGCACGAAGAGAGAGGGCCCTGCGGGAAACGGGTCCTAGACCCCATGGAGTTCCCCAGGACCAGCTCGTATCCCGAGTCGTTCTTCGACTGTTCGGAGTCCTCCGCGACAGGGGCTCGAAAACAGCGGAAATCTCCCACGGCACCTTTCCTCCAGGGCCTGAGGCCCTTCACGCGCATCCTTCCACCCCATGGCCTCGCCAGGGTTCCACTCTGGCCAGACTCTCGAGGCGGATCCGGCCGTGGCGACGACGAGCCTCCCAGAGGCTCCGAGGGGCTCCGACCCCTCGCCGCTTCTCCGACCCTCCAGCACCTGCTCGTGAGGCCGCCCCCTGCTCGTGAGGCAGCCCCCTGCTCGTGAGGCTTCCTCCTCCTCCTCCTCCTCCTCCCTCTCTCCTCCTCTCCTCCTCCTCCTCCTCCTCCCTCCTCCCTCCTCCTCTCCTCCTCCTCCTCCTCCTCCTCCCTCCCTCCTCCTCCTCCTCCTCCTCCTCCCCTGCGCTCCTCTCGTTCCCTTTTCCCCCTGCTCGTGAGGCCGCCCCCCGGGCGCGCCGGGCCGAGGAGGACGGCGCGATGCTGTACTACGCCAAGGGCGGCGGGTGGCCGGGCAACCCGTGCTACGGCGACGTCCGCGTGAGGCGCCCGCCGCCGTCGCCGCTGGCCGGCGTCGTCGCCTCCGCCGGCGTCGCCGCAGGCCGCCTGCGTCGTTTCGGGCCGGACGAAAGGGGGGGATATGCGAAAGGGGGGGTTACGCATTCTGCTGCATGCCGCTGTTTTCGGCCCCACCGAGGGGCCCATTCCTCGATACATGGCCGCCTCCGGCGCCGGGAGGCGCCGGGAAAGTCAGCTACGTGAGCTGATTCTCAAACCCCCCCTTTGCTATCCCCCCCTTTCGCCCGACCCGATCGTTGCAGGCCGCCTGCGTCGGTGGTGTCGCCAGACTCGGCGGGGTCGCCGCCGCGGTCGACGTCGCCTCTGCCGGCGTCGCCGCCGCCTGCGTCGTCGCAGGCCGCTGGCGTCGGCGGCATCGCCGGACTCGGCGTCGCCGTCGGCGGGGTCGCCGCCGCGGTCGGCGTCGTCGCCCGTCGCCAGCGTTGTCGCAGGGGTCGGCGTCGTCACCAGCGTCGTCGCTGCCAGAGTCGTCGCTGCCAGCGTCGTCGCCAGCGTCGTCGGCATGGTGGTGGTGGTGGTGGCGGCCGTCGTTGGCGTCTGGCGGAGGGGAGAGGGAAAGGGGGTGAAATGGGAGGATACATGTAATTGGGACGCAATGTCCCTCAGTTTCCCGCGTACGCTGGGCCAGATGTTGTCACCCCGCAGGCGCCCTCACGTCTGGGGGCATCTGAATGCAAGCATTGTGGTATTCCCCACATGAGCTCAAAGATCCTCCCAGTCTCCTTCTCGAAGGTCTTCGCTTGTTTGTCGAACGCCTTCGCGAAGGCGTGCTCCAGTTAACGGATGCGCTGGCGAGGAGAAGGAGGGAGAAGGAGGAGGAGGAGGAGCAGGAGAAGGAGGATAATATGTCAAGATGGGGAGAGGGGAACGAGTTGTGAGGACGGAGCTCCTTTTCATGGGTGAAGCCCTTCGTTGCCCCGCTTCCTCCTTGGGTCTCTGCTGCTGGTCTCACGCCATGGTATCTGGCGGCCTCTGGGGGGCTCTCGCCGGGCCCCAGCACCGACACGGAACGATTCGGGACGACAAGACGACCTTGGGGAAGGGGTCCATACCTCTTGGGGCCCACGCCGTGGAAAGAGGACGACGTCGGAGCTCTGGAGACGGGAGCGGTCGATCCTCCAGGACCCGTTCCCTTCATGCTAATTCTCCTCCCTGGTCACCCCCGCCGAGCCTCCTTTCGGCGGCGAGCCCCGGGGGGCGGACGTGAGAAGGAGCAGGCCCCCTCAGAAGGCGGCGGGGCTTCTCAGAAGCCCTCACGCCTCATGGGAAGCTTCCGGTGTCTTCGGAGGGCCAGAAGACTTCTCGGAAGACCCCCCGGCATTCCGAGCCTTCTGAGAAGGCCCTGGAACAAGGCGAGAGCTCCGCATCGAAGCAAGGCAGGGGCTCAACCCAGGAACGGGCCCGAAACGGGGCCCCACAGGCCTAAAAGCCCAGAACACACCTCGGGCTTGATGTTTCCGCCGGTCCTCGCAGGAGAGCTGGTTCACCCGCCGCCGTCGCTACCGATCTTTGTGGGGGGCTTGCGCGGGCGACGCCCATCTCGGACCGCCGCTCGCCGCCGCCAGGTTCCTGCACATCCCCTGTGGCGACAGGCCCGGCCCCCGCCCCCTCTCTCCGCGCACGCCTCCGAGGAGTCCAGGGCTCCCAACCTCGCCATGAAGCGAGCTCGGCGGCAAGCCCAGGGGGGAAGTGCGAGGGGGCGGGCTGTCTCAGAAGGCTCGGAAGGCCGGGGGGTCTTCCGAGCTTCTCGTGAGGCGTGAGGGCTTCAGGGAAGCCCCGCCGCCTTCGGAGGAGGCCTGCCCCTTCCCGCGTCCCCCCGGGGAGCGCCGCCGACGGGCGTGTCCTTCGGGAAGCGGGTCCTGCCTGTTCCTTCCGTTTTTCGGGTTCTCAGGGGCCTCCCCAGGCCCCAGGGCCGTCAGAGATCGCCTCGGGGTGGGAAGGTGATCCCAGGAGACATCAGGGGGCAACAAGAGGGGGGGGACAGGCATTAGGGGGGGATGCATCGACCCCCAATCTCCCATTGATCGCCGATGGGGGTCTGATAGCCCAAACTCGCCCAGGAGGCAGGAGGGTGCGGATTCACTATCGGGGGCCTATCGCCGATCTATCGGCGATGTGTCGCCGATTCCAGGTCGATGCATCCCCCCCTATGCCAGTTCCCCCCGATCGTTGCCCTCAGGGGAAGGCCCCTGGGTCAGGAATCCGTTGCCCTCGGGATCCATGTCTTTCACGCCACGAAATGGGACAAAGTGCAGTTGGGACGCTGGGTTCAGAAAGGGGCTCTGTTCCTTGGGTCTTTCCCCATGGCTGTTCCTCCACCGCTCCTGGTTCACCCAGGCGCGTTTGAGGGGCCAAAATGGAGCTTGGCTCCATATGCAGCGTTCCTCATGTAACCTGATTGTCGATAGGTCAGAGGATCGGGCCGCATCTACGATGCGGCGCAATCCAGAATCCAATGTTCTCCGTCCCAACGTCGCCAGAGCATCCGCGATGCATCGGCGATGCGGAACGATCCTTCGATCCCATCTACTCTGGCCGCGTTCAGGAGGCATTCAATATTAGAACAAGAAAGAAAATAGTTGGAAAAGGACATCGACGTTCCGCGCAGATGTCTTGCGTTTGGCGCGCTCCGCGCGCCGGGGGAACGGGATGGTCCACCACCGATCCAAGAAATCCGCGCAGGACCTCTTGAATCTTGTTATTGTGCGTGTGCAGAGTCTTCTCAATCAATCTCAGGAAGACGAGGATAGGAGGCCACCATAATCAGGCAAGCTCTGGATGAGAGCGCTCCAGAGGGTTCCGGAACGCTCTCAGAGCGTTCTGGAGCGCTCTGGAACAGGCCGCGGCGTCCGCAAGTTCCCAGAGAGTCCTGATTTACGCAAGGCGCTTCGCGTTCAGGAGGACGTCGTCGCAGAGGGTCAATCATAGCGCATGCCCCCGCGACAAGGGGCGTGTACGGATACATTGATACATGCCGAGTCGCCAGAACACAGGCAAGGGGGGCGCCCGCAGATGTCCTGGCCGATATATGTCCTCCTTACGAAACTGTTGAAGAAGAGGAAGCAATAAAAAAGTAGTCCTCCGTAGAGGGACAGGGCTGCAAGCGGAAGACTGTATGTGCCAACCTGGAAAAACTTCCCACGCCAGGCTATTCGCCTGCGTGGCAGTGCGGGGCGCCGCGGCTCTTATTCACCGCCTGCCCATTCCAATTCTCGCTGGAAGAGACGAAGACGGGGCCAACAGTTCTCAGGGATTCGCTGATTATTCAGGTGGCCTGCGCCATTCCGCCGACCCCCAGAGGAGAAACGACGTTCGTGGGTGAGACCTTTGCCTCTTGGGAACCGTCTGAGGGGCCTCTTGGGGCATCTTTTCGGCCTCTTAGGGGCCTCTTGGAGCCTCTTGGGGTTAGTTGGACGCCCGCTGGCGGTCTCAGGGGTCCTCTTGGGGCGGAGGGCCCGAAGTGGAAGTTCGAGTTCCTTGAGGCTCGTTGGGGGCCCTCTTGGGCCCGATTTACCTCGTGCGAGGTTGCCCTCGCCCTGCTTTCGTCTCACGCGAGAGCTCGAGGCTCGGGGTTCGAGGTGGTGTGACCTGCCCAGAGCCTGGACCCGCGGGCGAGCGGGGCCGAAGATTCGGTTGGAACTGCCCGCCTCGAGGGGTTTCTCCGGAGATCGCCAGGGACCTCTCGCCAACCAGACACCCACACCGATCCCAGCCACACCGATCCTGGGCCAAGGACCGGTGGGCTCGCGCCTGGTGCAGGTGTAGTTGGCGCCCTCCTGCAAGAGTCGGGCCCCAAGGCCTTCCATCTTTTCCGGCCTCCCAGCGGGGCCCCCCTTGGGGTCCCCCGGGCCGTCACAAGACGCGATGAGAATAGGGTCCCAGGAGAAGATTCGGTGTTCAGGGCTCTCCCTCAGGGATGGTCTCCCGTATTGTCCCTCGTGTTTTCGTGTATGACCTTCCATGTGTGTTTCCGCATGTTTGCCCCGGGCCTCTCAAGGTCTTCCTTGCGGTCTCCCTTGTGGCCTCCCTGAAGGTCTCTCCTATGGCCTCGTTTCGGGTCTCCCTCATGGTCTCCCTTCGGGTCTTCCTTGCGGTCTCCCTCATGGTCTCTCGTACGGTCGCTCGTATGGTCTTACGCATGGTCTCCTTTGTGGCCCCTTCTAGTGTTTCTTCTGTGGCCTCATTTGTGGTCTCTTATGTGGTCCCCCTTGCGGTGGTACCCCCATTTAGTACGCCAGTATGTTCTACAGTATTTCCCAACGATCCTGTGGGGTTGGGTCCTCGTTTTGAAGGGACAGCGCCCCGCGTCCCTCTCCTCCTCCTCCTTCTCCTCAGCCTCCTCCTCCTCCTCCTCATCCTCCTCCTTCCGCTGCTCCCTCCCTCCTCCCCCTCCTCCCTCCTCCCTGCGTTTCACCCGCCCCGTACAGCGTTTCATGGCCCCATAGGGTGCTCCGCCGAAGGCCCCAGTGGCCAGTGGCAGGGTCCGCATGCAGCTCCCCCCCCCAGTTCTGCGCACACCTCACACGTTTCGTGGCCCCATGGGGTGCTCCGCCGAAGGCCCCAGTGGCAGGGCCCCCATGCAGTTCTACCCCCATTGCGGCGCACCTCTAACACGTTTCGTGGCGCCATACGATGTTCCACCCAAGGCCCCAGTGGCAGGGTCCGCATGTAGTTCCACCCCCCATTTCGGCGCACCCCTCACACGTTTCGTGGCCCCATAGGGTGCTCCACCCAAGGCCCCAGAGGCAGGGTCCCCATGCAGTTCCACCCGCATCTCGGCGCACCCCTCACACGTTTCGTGGCCCCATTGGGTGCTCCGCCCAAGAGCCCAGTGGCAAGGTCCACATGCAGTTCCACCACCATTTCGGCGCACGCGGCCTCGTAGGGTGCTCAGCCGAAGGCCCCAGCAGCAGGGTCCGCACGCAGTTACACCCCCATTTCGGCGCACCCCTCACACGTTTCGTGGCGCCATAGGGTGCTCCACCGAAGGCCCCAGTGGCAGGGTGCGCATGCAGTTCCACCCCCCGATTTCGGCGCACGCCTCACACAGACCCAATAGGCTGCTCCACCCAAGGCCCCAATGGCAGGGTCCGCATGCAGTTGCACCCCCACGTTTCGTGGCCCCATAGGGTGCTCCACCCAAGGCCCCAGTGGCAGGGTCCGCATGCAGTTTCACCCCCATTTCTGCGCACGCCTCACACGTTTCGTGGCCCCATAGGGTGCTCCGCCAAAGGCCCCAGTGGCAGGGTCCGCATGCAGTTCCACCCCCCCAGTTCGGCGCACGCCTCACACGTTTCGTGGCCCCATAGGGTGCTCCACCCAAGGCCCCAGTGGCAGGGTCCGCACGCAGTTACACCCCCATGTCGGCGCACCCTTCACACGTTTCCTGGCCCCATAGGCTGCTCCACCCAAGGCCCCAGTGGCAGGGTCCGCATGCAGTTCCACCCCCATTTCGGCGCACACCTCACACGCTTCGTGGCCCCATAGGGTGTTCCGCCGAAGGCCTCAGTGGCAGAATCCGCATGCAGCTCCACCCCCCCATTTCGGCGCACCCCTCGCACGTTCCGCGGCCCCATAAAGTGCTCCTCCGACGGCTCTGGTGGCAGCGTCCGCAGGTCGGTGGCAGTGTCAATTTTGGCACACCCGTCACACGCGTCGTGACCCCAGAGAGGTTCACCGGGGTCGATACCCGCTAATGCGTTACTCACAACTGCACATGGTTGGGTCCCTTGCCTGGACAACTTCCTTTCTACTCTTCACTTTCTCTAGTGGTTTTGATATTGATCTCTTCAGTACTTTGAAGTGCTGTTTAGGGGCTTCGGCCGCCAAGGGTGCAATTCTTTTGGGGGAGGGTCTCCAGAGACTTCCGGGGGGGGTCTCAAGAGGCTTCTGGGATCTCCTGTTAGTAGGAGCTAGAGTGAGACAGAATGATGACGAGGAAGAGGAGATGGAGGAAGAGGAAGAGGAGGAGGAGGAGGAGGAGGAGCAAAAGGAGGTGGAGGAGGAGGAGGAGGAGGAAGAGGAGGAGGAGGAGGAGGAGGAGGAGGAGGAGGAGAGGGAAAATCTCCTGTCCATCGTCTCTCCATCCTCGTTCTTTTTTCCTCTCATCACGGATGTGGATCTCCACACCAGATGTTGTGACTTGGGCATGTCGAGCGCACGTGGGATCATGAAGCACAGAGCCCGAGCACTGTCCGCGTAGTTTTGTCTATGCGTCGCCCGTGTATCGGCGTGTTCTTGACTAGCCGAAGCACGTGTCTCTTTGTCCATGCATATTACTGGCCAGTCGAACCAACGGTGGCCCTTCCCAGCGCTTTTCGTCCATGTGGGGCTCCCGGAAACTTCTCGTCGCCACGGCTGGATCCGCTCCGAGAGCCGCGCCAGGACGGGCCTCGGACGGACTCTCGGGGGCCCTCCTCGCCGCGGCCGTGCGCGGTTCGGACACGCGGACCAGCGTGGACCCCGGGAGGGTCCCGAGCAGCAACTTGCGGCGAGCCCCGGGGGGGACGCGAGAAGGGACAGGCCTTCTCCGAAAGCAGCGAACTCTTCAGACGCCCTCCCCTGTTCTCTGAGGAGTCTCCGGCGTCTTCGGGGAAGGCTGAGACAACTTCTCGGCAGACCTGAGGCCTTCCGAGCCCTCTGAGAAGGCCCGCCGCCTCTCCCTCCCCTCCCCTGGCTGGTCGCCGGAACGATCCTGACAAGATTCCCAGCTCCTCGGCGGCGGCGCGCGGCCGAGCCACCGGTTCACCGCCGCCGGGGTGCAGCGGGACGGCTTCCTGGAGAGCTTCCGCTACAAGGCGCTGGCCCCGAGCTTCTGGGGAGACGGTGGGGGGGCCCTCCCCAGAGATCCGATGTCTTGATGCCTTGCCCGACGTTGCGAGAAAAACAAATCAGCGCAACAAATCACGACTGGAGACCCAGACCCCGTCTTTCTGCGGCGTTATTCGGGCCGGATCGATTTGCGAGGGTCTTGGAACCAGAGACGGGCGAAAACGCCCAGCGTGAAAACATTGCAACGCCCCGATCTCATGGTACGGGGTCCCCGGAAGTTTGGACCCTCTCCCAGGAACTGGCTTCTCATCGCGGGCCGTTTTTAGACGGTCCTGGGGAGGGCTTCTATAGAGGCCGAAATGGCGAAAAGCTTCCGCTTTTTCTCACGACGCTGGATCTCTGGAGCCCTCGATCCGGAGTAATATGGTACGCAGAGAATCCCCACCTTGCCAGGTCGACCAGCGAGTTGCGTTCTTCTGGTTCTCGAGAGGATGCTACAGTCACCCCGCATAGCAAGGATGGGCAACATTCCCAAGGGTACCCTTGCATCCTTGCCTCCTCGGCCTATCCTTCGCCGCTTTCGCTGGCCGCGCCCCGCTCGAATGGCTTCGAAATGGGCGTCCCCTTGCATCCTTATCGTGCATCCTTACCAGACGGGTTGACTGTAAGAGCCCGCAATTGTTGCGGGCCTGCGGAGCCGTGGTCCGGTCCTTGGCCAAAAGGGGGCTCTGCTCGCTTCCGATTCGTATTGTTCTTTATCCTTTGGCGAGAAATCGGGGGACACACAGTGACATAAAACAGAAAGTGTCGAAGCTCTGCGCGGATTTCTCGGGTCGGCGCTGGACCCCCTTTCCATGGCGCGCGGAACGCGCCAGGGGCGGCACCGGAGGCGCTGCCACGGGGGTCCAGCGCCGAGTCGAGAAATCCGCGGGGAGTTCCGCATGTTTATGTTTATTTCATTGTCTGTTCCCCGACTTCGTAATGGGCGCTGCCCGGGGGGAGTGGATGGGGTGAGGTCGGCAACCTCCCGATGAGCTGCCCCTTGCCATTCCTGGACGGCGGCGGGCGCGGGTGACGTTAGCCAGGGTGGGAGGGGGCGCGGCCCAGGTAGCGGGCGTTATCGCGAACAGCTGCAGAAGCCAGGTAGTTCATTCACCTTGGAGCCGTCAGGGGTACCTGAGGTGACCGAGCCATGGTTCAGGCTAGCAGGAAGGGGGGGGGCAGGTTCGAGGTTCTGAGTTCGGGGAGTCTTTTTTGCCTTTTTCGGCCTCTGGGAGCCGTTTTCGGCCGCGGGGACCGCAAACAGATGGAACCTGGGAGGGTCCCGGGACCGATTTTGAGCGGGTTTGGTTTCATCCCCGCTCCTGGCAGCTTTTCTGGAGTCCCAACCAGTTCAGACCCCCGCCCGCCTCCAGCTTCACCTCCCCTAACCATGAGGAGAAGGAGGCGCTCTGGCCACTTGGAACAGTCTTGGGGGCAGTCATGCAGCCTCTTAGAGGCATGCTGGAGCCCATCTTGGGTTCTCTTGTGTCATCTTGGAGGCCGTCTCAGGGCTGTCTGGGGCCATCATGGAGCCATCTTGGCTCAACGGCCTCCCAGGGATGCCCCAGATATGCCTACAGATTTCAGCAACTTGTTTGATCAATGGAAGGCACCTACGGTCAATCACCGCCGCTCCTTGCCTTGTTGAAAACACTTTCGGAAGCACCCATGTGACCAAAATCGTGCCAGAACGCCATTCCTGGGCCTTCAAAACCGCGAATCAACGTAACTGCTGCGCCCTGACAGTCCTGAATCGTTCCAAAATATCATGTCTGGCACGTTAGCCATGAGAACCAATGCAATTCTTCCAAATATGTATATTTACGACGAAGGTGTGTGCGCTAAGGCGAGAGCCACATTTTGAAAAGGAACCGCCCTCAATCCGTTAAGCTTTTGCAACTGTTTAAGACGAATGTGCGCGGCGAGAGCCACAATTTGAAAACGAACCGCCCTCAATTCGCGAAGCACTTGCTATTCTGTTTATCGAATGTGCGCGGCGCCCAGGCGAGAGCGACATCTTGAAAAGGAACCGCCCGCATTCCGTGAAGCTCTTGCAAATGTTTAAAACGAATATGTGCGGCGCTAAGGCGAGAGCAATATTTTGATAACCCGTGAAATTCTTTCTTCTTTGATTAACGAATGTGTGGGCCAAATGACGCTTTGGGAGGACGTGTTGGGGCGCTTTAGGGCCTTCTTGGCGCCCTCCTTCGGGTCATCTTGGGGGCCTCTTTGCCTGTCGTGGAGCCTCGTTGGCCGGTCTTGGGGCCTCCTTGGGGGTCTCTTGAGCCGTCCGGGGGCCTCTGGGGCCGTCGAGGGCTGTGGCAAATTCGAAAAGAGGCGAACTCGACATTTTGCAAACGCATGGAAATCCATGCTTGTTGCTTCTTCGGGCCCTCGTCTTGGGATCATCTTAGAGGCTGATCTGGGCCGCCTTGGCCATCTTGGAAATGACGTCTCTTGACTTTGTGGTTTTCATGTGCTTTCAGGAGGGCCAGTTGGTTGAGCCGAGATTCCATAGGTGATCTTCTTGAAGGGCCTGAAGGGTTCGTTGCAAATTTGGCACGCTTTGCACCCCTCTACAGGCAGAAGGGTGCCGCAGATCGAATACGGCTACGGCGAGTCACCGTCGCCCCTTGCCTTCTAGAAATGCCTATGTGACCGAATGTTGTGGCCAGAGCTCGGCCAATATATCGGATCATGTGTTCCCAATGTCGTTGTGAAAACGCTTCGAGGAACACGGGAGAGAAAGAAGAGGAGGAGAGATCTCTTCGGGCTTTCTTGGAGGTTCTGGCGGGGGGGGGCTTTGGGGACTCTCGGGCCGTCTTGGGGCCATCTTGGGCAATCGTGGGTGCATCGTGGCCGTCTTGGAGACATCTTGCCGCCATCTTGGGCTCTTTTGGGGCCATTTTAGATGTCTTGGAGCCATATTTGAGGCCATCTTCAGTCATCTTTCGGCCGCCTTGCAGCGGGAAAACCAACGGCATGGAAAGTGTACGGGTATTGGTGGGGCGTCGGTGGGCTGCGCTGATACCCCACTGGAAACCTTTGAAAGTGGCCAGAAATACTCAAAAGTCTGGCACGCCGTACGCCACTGGTAAGCCACAGAGGGCGGCGAATCGAACGGCCTTCGGCCCATCCCACGGGCGTGCATGGGTCGTACAGGAGGGGGTTCGTAGAGGCTTCTTGGGGTCTCTTGGGAAGGCCTCTTGGACCATCTTGAGGCCACTCAAAGCCTCTTGGGGTTTCTTGGGGGCGTCTTGTCTTGGGAGCCTCTGGGGAACATCTTTGGGCGTGTTGGGCCGTCTTGGGACCTATACGGGGCCGTCTTGGGACTCTATTGAACAGTAGTGGGGCTTTACTGGGACCTCTTAGAGCCGTGCTGAGGGATCTGGGCGTCGTATTGGCTGGAAGGGGCGGCACTCCTAGAGCGTACGAGAGCGCCTGTGAGTTCCAGCAAGTTTAGTGTCCGATATTTTGAATAATGTGCCGATCTCTTCAACATGTTTAACTGTATTGGCAGATTTGGTTTATGGGGTGGTCCGTAATTCGGCCCCCCTTCGGAGCCTGAACCATTAGTTTCTTGTAGCCTGTTGGGACGCACCTTTTGCCCTTGTGGCCACTCTTCAGGCTCTCTTGGGCGATCTTGGAGCCATCTTAGGTCTTCAGAAACTCATTGCAAGCAGACAAGCACCACTGAACCTGAACTAGTACACGTAGGTTTTAAAAGAGTTTGGCACCTCAAGGACTGCTGAAGGCCATTTGGGGCTCTCTTGTGCCATCTTTGGCTATATGCGGCCATCTTGGACACTCTAACCGCCCGCGCTCCCCCTACCGCCCAGACCCAGGAGATGTGTAGGGGGATAGGTCAATCCCGTCCCGAAGGGGAAGAAGCAGGTGGGAAGAGGATCCGATCTAAACCACCGAAGTCCAGAGGGTTGGTGGGATTCCTCGTCTACCTGCTCGCGTGGCGACTGCCAGAGGCCTTGCTTCACGATCTCCTCGTCGAGCGGTTCACCAATCGACTGGAGAACACGCGTAGACAGGAAGACGAACTCTCCGCCGAGCCCCTTGCCCCCCCCGCGAGTCCGAATGAGCATCCCGGACAATGCGGTCCCCGGGGCCCCGAAACGAGCCTCACGAGGCTCCAAGGCAGCGAGAGACCGGCCGCCCCGAGGGTCGGATTTCGAGGCCATTCGTGCGATTTCTTCTGGGGATTTCATTTCGTCCGTTCGCCGTTGGTGCCGGTGGCTTTCGTGGGATTTTGAGGGTGGCTCTAGTGGGCTTTGGACGGTGGCCTTCGTCGGCCGCCCAGTCAGATGGATGAAGCCCTCGCATCCCGGCAACACCCCGAACAGCGCCATACATTTTAGCTCAGTTCTCTTAGTCTCCGCCACCACCACCTCCCCACATTCCCCCCCTCTAGCGACGTCGGCGGCGGAGATGACGGCGACAACGACGCCGTCGACGACGACGACCGACGACCGACGACCGACGACCGACGGCGACGACGGCGACGACGGCGACGACGACGGCGGCGGCGGCGGCGGCGGCGACGACGACGACGACGACGACGACCGACGACCGACAACCGACGACTGAAGACGACGACGACGAAGCAGACGAAGACGACCGACGTCGTGGAGGCCCCCCGCGGCTCCTGTGGGGTTTCCGGAGGTCCCCAGAGGTCTCCATCTGCAGGCCTAGGACGGAAGGACGGATCCAAAATTCCCGAGGTATCGTTTTCGCACTCTCGAACCTCGACGACGACCACGCTGACGACGAGAACGTCCTGAGCTTCAGCATCTCAAGAAGATGAAGAGACATGAGCAGCTCGGGATGCTTCATATTTTTGTGGGGACGGCGGCGGCGGCCACAACTGACAGCGGCGCCAGCGCTGGCGCGGGCGGCGGCGGCCACGCAGACGACCCTGGCACGTGAGCAGCAGCAGCAGCAGCAGCAGCAGCAGCAGCAGCAGCAGTAGCAGCAGTAGCCCCTTTCTTTATTGTTTGGGGCATGGCGGGCGTCATGCCCCCCCCCTATGATGTAACGCTCCCCCCTCCAGTGCGCTCCAGGCACTGCCGCTGTGCGCATTGGGATCCGCGTAGGTGTCCGCGTAGGAATCCACACAGGAGTCAGGTCCGCAGTCGTCGTCGTCGTCGTCGTCGTCGTCGTCGCTCGTGGCTTGTCGCTCGTCGCTCATAGTCGTCGTGCGCGCGGACGCGGCTGAAACCTGTTTTTTATTCCGGGCCGATGACGGTAATCATCTAGGAGGGGGATGGAGGGGGTCGATGACGTCACGTTTCGCGCCGGCGGCGTTTGGGAATGCTTAGGAATGACGGAGGACGGGTAGCGGCAGCATGTCGGTGGCGATTTGCACCACAACGCTTGTGTACACCACAGTGCCGGCGTGCACCACAGCGCCTGAGTACACCACCGCGTATGTACACCACAGCAGCCGCGTGCAACACAGCGTCAGTTTGTGCCACCGCGCCTGCACAACAGCTTTTGTGCACACCACAGCGCTTGCGTTCACCACGTCAGCCGTGTGCAACACAGCACCAGTATACGCCACGTCGCCTGTGTGCACCACAGCAACCGTGTGCAACACGGCACCATTGTTATATATAGAATGTGAGAACGAATCCGGATGACAAAATGGAGCGCTTGCGGATTCCACTAAAAACAATATATCATAATCTTTATGGACAACGGAGCGCCGCTGGAATCTACGTCTCCGCGCGCATCACCCTAACTTCTCCCTTTGCGTCCAGGAGGTTCCAGCTAAATTGGCCGTCCGAGAACCAATTGGACCGATTCAATCGATCATTCTGCGGTGCGCGCTGAGATGCGCACGTGCGCTGTAGCGCCAGCCCGCACGACAGGGGGTAAAGAGGAGGAGGAGGAGGAGGAGGAAGAGGAGGAGGAGGAGGAGGGAGGAGGGAAAAACGTCACATTCGATGATCAGCAATTTCTTGGCGTGGCGTCCAGTTGTCCGCAGCTGATCCTCACGTACATGCTCCTTCCACGTGTCCTATGCACGCAGGCGTTGTGGTATACACCAGCGCTGCGTTGCACGCGGATGCTGTGGTGTAGACGCGCGCTGTGGCGTGCACAGGCGTTGCGGTGCACGCAAGCATTGTGGTGAACACAGGCGTCGCGTTGCACATGGTAGCTGCGGTGTGCAAGTGTACGCCGACGCTGTAGTGTACGCAAGCACTGTGGTGTATACAGGCGGTGCGTTGCACAAGGTTGTTGCGGTGTACGCAGGCGCTATGGTATACACGCGCGCTGTGGTGCACGCGAGCGTTGTGGTGTATACAGGCGCAGTGGGGCATATCGCCACTTACATGCTGCTCGCGTCGTCGACGTCGTCGTCGTCGTCGTGATCGTCGTCGTCGTGGTCGTCGTCGTCGTCGCTCGTCGCTCGTCGGTCGTCGCGTCGCTCGCGCGGGCGCGGCTGCGGTGCCGGAGCCACATGGCGGGGGGGGCGTTACGTCATGCCCCCCCCTCTGGCCCCCCCCCCCATGGCGCCCGTCATCGCCGAACATAAAAAAAACGCGCCCCAGCAGCAGCTAGCATAGTGCATCATGCGACCGCAGAGTTTTCCGCGAGCTCCTGACGGGCGCGGCGCCGCGAAAGCTCGAGCATCGAACAAAAAGGCTGATCCTCGCATCCCTCGGTTTCATGTGCCCTGCAGTCGATCGGCGGCAGCGGCGGCCACCACGGCGGCGGCGGCGGCGGCGGCGGAGGCGACCGCGCCGCGCGGCATCGCGGCTGGCGCGTTCGAGTCCGGGGACTTCAACCTCGGGCCGGAGGGGGAGGACCTGTTGGCTGGGGGCCGCGCGGCCCCTCGTCGAGGATCGAGGCTCGGTCGGGAGCTATGACCACGAGGCTGCGACATCAGCCGTCACGCCCTGGGCAGTGCCATGGACATTCTGCGGTATAGGCCTGCGAGCGCGAGCTGTCCAGCAAGCTATGCCAATGATGTTTCGGGCGAGGGCCCGAATACCCTCGGTGCACGTATGTGCAGCTCCCATGCGGATCGAGCAGATCGAGCCCGGGGTCCTCTGGGAACGCCCCGTTCCCAGACATTTGGCGTCTCGATTGTTTCGAGACGCCGGCCCGCGACCTCTCGACCACTTCCCAGGAACAGGTTTCTCGTCCCGAGTCGTTTTTTGACGGTCTCGAGGCTTGGCAAGGGCCCCGAGAGGCCGAACACGGCGAAAAATCGCCGTCGCGATTTTTTCGAGACGCCGATGTCTAGGTTTCCGGCCCGCGGCGTCGCCCGACAGCGAGCTGGTACGGCGGAGGCAGCCGGGGACGGGCCTTGGGAGGGCCCGCTGGCTGGCACCGTGGCGGCGCCGCCTTTCCACGTCGCGGTTCGCCGCTCGAGCTCCCCAGGCATCCAGCGTCGGCTTTTCGCCGCCTTCGGCCTCTGGGTTGGAGGGCAGAACCTGCTGGTTGCTTCTATCTGGGCTGGCACCGTGGCGGCGCCGCCTTTCCACGTCGCGGTTCGCCGCTCGAGCTCCCCAGGCATCCAGCGTCGGCTTGTCGCCGCCTTCGGCATCTGGGTTGGAGGGCAGAACCTGCTGGTTGCTTCTATCTGGGAACAGGAAAGGACATGGCATAACAACTCGAAGGTCCGCGCGGATTCCTCGGATCGGCTCTGGGGCCCCCCTGGCGGCGCCTCCGGCGCCGCCCCTGGCGCGCTCAGCACGCCAGGAAGGGGGGTCCAGCGCCGATCCGAAAAATCTGCGCGGATCTCTGAGTTTTTGTGTTGATGTCCTTGATGGTTCTCCGATTCTGGAATGCCAATAACTATTTGGGCCCTATGTCAGATAATACCGTTCTCGTTTTCCAACCGTAAGCGTCTGCTTTGGTGATCGTGAGGTCTGTGGACACATTGGGTGTCGAAGAATCGGGGCAGAGTTGGAGCTGTCTGGGGGTCTGAGGTGGCCCTGCACTGGTTCCGGCCAGCAGGAAGGGGGGGCGAGATTCGAGATTCTAGGTTCGGGAAGGTGTTCTGCCTTTTTCGGCCTCTGGGGGCCGTTTTCGAGCCCCGGGACCATGCGAAACGGATCTGTGGTGAAAAATTGCACCAGATGGACCCCAGGAGGGGGTGGGGGACTGATTTTGAGTGGCGAGGCGTCTTGGCTTGCTTGTAGGCGCACCAAAGAACTTTCGAAAAACCTTCTTGTGGCTTGCACGAAGTGTTCTCAGAACATGTATGGCTGATGCCGTCTTGTTTCCATGCGTTGGCTTTATGCTCTAAGAAAGGTGTTTCTGGTATTAGAGCGTTCTTTAGTTCTGGGAGACTTTCGTGGTATGACTACAGGAACTCTGTGAGGTTCGGTCCCTGCTCAAGTAGAGACTTTTCGTCGCCTTCGGCCCATGGGTGCCCGCGCAGGCTCCCGGACCCAGGATGGAGTCCAAGAAGTCCAATAAGACACAGTTGCGTAAACATGAGTTTCCGGAAGCCCGAGAGTCCGATGTCTCTTCTTCTCCTTTGTGAACAACCGGACGCCGGGAAAAGGGTCGGGACTTCCGAGTGACTGCGATGGGCCTGCGCCCGAACTCGACGAATTCCCCTCGCCCTGAGCTCGGGCAGCCGTCTGCGCCGCCTCTGGAGGTGCGATCGTGGGAGCTGTGGCCGACGATTCGGGATCGGAGCCCGTGGTTGCCCATGGGTGTTCATGGTTCGGTCGGTTCGGTTGCGTCGTCGTCGGGTTCGTGCGGTCGGGTATGTTGTCGCGTCGCTGCGCGCTTCTGGGCTGCTTGCGGCCTGTCGATTTCGGTTTCGGTCGCTGTCGGTTCGGTCGGTGTTCGGGCTTGCTGTCGCCGTGCACGGCTGCGGTGCCTCCCCCATTACAGGTTAGACGTCCCCGAGCCCTTGGCCGTGTACAGGGGCGCAGCGTGGCATGTTTCCTCTGAGCCTCGGGAGGCGGCCTCATGGTGCTGCAGAGAGCGAGATAGGGAGGCCCAGAAAGTGCGGGCCCAGGAGGATCTGGAGATTCCCCTAGCTTGGGCTTGTGTGTTTCGCTGCCGTTGGTACTTAGCGGAGGAGCTTGCTTCCTTTTCCGATCTCCCTCTTCCTCCTCGTCCTCCCTCATCCCCCCTTCTCCCTTCCATGATTCTCTCCTCCCTCCGCCTCGTCTCCCCTCCCTTTTCCTTCCTCCCTCTCCCCCTCCACTCCTCCCTTCTCCTTCTTCCCTTCCTCCCTTCTCCTTCCTTCCTCCCAGAGCTCTTGAACATTACTACCATCAACACAAGTCACGTGATGGCTGATTGCACTGTAGCCAAGATGTTTTACGGCAGCGGCCGCTAGAGTACTCGATCGGCCGGTCAACGCGCGCATCTGTTGATGCCGCTTGTACTTGCTGTTCTTAGGGCCCCCCGCACGGTGCCGTCCCTCCGATGCAAGGTTGCGCGCCCCCCCAATCCGTTTTTTAATGCAAAGCTGAGCGCAGCCCCTCCGTCGCCGCTTGACCGTGTCAGCACTGTCTCCTGGGGGGAGGGGGGCGGGTCGAGGGATTTGCTCACGAAGCGGGCTGCCCTCTCGCATCGCCATTGGTCTGGCAGATGATTGGGCTGGCCTCCGGCCAGTGCCGCCGATCCGGGGGGGGTGAGAGCGAGCCGTCTTGGACATTGTGAAGGGCCAAGAAACGAATATGCAGAAAATATACGTTTTCCCAAGGGAATGGGTCCATTTGTCAGTCTTTGGGCATTCTTGGGAAGTGTCGTGAGGGACCCTGATGATATTTTCGATGCGCGGGGGCGGCGATGCTCACTCTGCGAGGGGACCGCGCCCGCCCTGAGAGGGCGACGCGCGTCGTCAACGCGCGTCTGGGCGAGGTGAGTGCGATCGTCACACGAAGTTTGCTACTGGCCTGTATGTTTAAGAACACCGGCCCGGCCTCCTCAATGCGATCCTCGATCCTTCGTCCCCCCCTCTGGCGCGGGGGCCTGCGGGGGCGGGCGCTCCGCCAATCAGGACGACTGCGCCGTCGACGACCCCGCCGACGAGGAGGGTCGCCGCCGCCGCCGCCGTCGTCGCCGCCGTCGCCGTCGCCGTCGCCGTCGCCGCCGTCGCCGTCGCCGTCGCCGTCGCCGTCGCCGTCGCCGTCGCCGTCGCCGTCGTCGTCGTCGTCGTCGTCGTCGTCGTCGTCGTCGTCGTCGTCGTCGTCGTCGAGGTCGTCCAGGATGGCGGCCATTTTGCTAGATGATTTATATCATAGTTTGTTTTGCGATGTTGGTTCGTCGTCGCTGTCGTCGCTGTCGTCTCTAGCGTCGCGGGGAGGGGCAAGGTGATCGAGAGGTGGTTAGACGTGTTTTCAATTCGTGTTGCCCGTCCAGGGGCCCCGAACAACTCCTGGAGGCCTTCGGGGGCCGTTGCGTCGGGAGCCGTCGTCACGGCGCAGCCGCCGTCGTCGTTTCTCTCGTCGTCCTCGGCGACACCGTCTTCCTCGTCATGACTGTTCAATGCGACCGCCTGCCTCTCGCCAGATGCTTCCAGCAGTAGCGCCAGCAGAAAACATGATCCCAAGCCTCCTCGTCCTGCCACTCCTCCCCTCCCTCGGCCCAGAATCCTCCCGAATCCATGAATCCAAACGACTCCCTTAAAGTCCCTGGCTTGTTTCTGGCCGGGCCCCTCGCCGAGGTGCAAGGAAGAGGTGCGTTGTGGGCCAAACAGTCCAGAGACCTGGTCGCTGCGAGTAGCCGTTACTGGACCTCGAGGTTTGCGTGGACGCGCAATCGTGTCTTCAGCGGGCTTACCGCGGAGAGCGTGAAGATGTTTGCGGAGCGCCACAGACGGTACCACCCTCAGTGGGTGCGCGAGCTGCTAGATCTTCAAGTTATCTATGCTTTGTGCTGGGCTGGCACGCGCGATTGGTGCGCTGATGGCTTGACGAAAGAAGCCGTTTTCCGAGATGTTTTGAAGAGTGTTGCCCGAGGCACGTGATATACTGCACAAGGCGAAGCGTCGGAGATTTGGAGTCCTGTTCCGGTCCAGTTCTGTAGGCATTGGAGCGAGAGAGTTCGACTACTAAGGGCGAGTGGCCTTCATGGATGGAGTGCACTTCCATGACACCTGGCTGGTCGCCCAGAGCCATTTTGAGAGTGGACCGTGCTAGTTGAGAGGGGACACACTTCAAGAAATCAGATGGTTTTCGTCAGGGTAGCGTGGGTTTTGAACGGTTTCTTCGCTGCGCGCGCTGCGCGGTGACTTTCTACGGGCGTGAAGAAGTTGCTGCCTTCGGGGTGCCTTGAATTTTCCCCAGGTGCACCTCGCGCGCGGATTAGAGTTGGGTTTCTTGCGCGGGTTTCTCGCGGCCGCGGCCGCACTGCAACAGCATGATATGCACGACCGAGGAGGTTCACAGCAAGGCGTGCTGGCACGGGCCTGCTGCCAGAGTCTGCGAGCAGAGGCAGAGACGGGGTCGCCCGCTGCAGAGCCCCCTGGAGCTCGGGCCACCGGGCGATGAGCTTGGCGGCTGCAGGCACGACGACAACCGACGACCTCGAGGAGTTCAGCACCAGAGTTGACTCGTCGGCGAGACGGTATTGAATAGATAGTTTTCGTGTAGAGGATGTGCATCCGTATATGTACTTGTCAATACGCATACGGAGCGTTCCAGGAAGGGCCTCGCCTTCGAGGGTCGACGGAATTGTCAGGTTTTCCTCGACTGAAGGCGGCGGGAGGGCGGCGGAAGGTGGTGGAAGTAAAGCGAGGGCGGCTTCGCCGGTGGACGCTGGCGGAAGTAAAACATGCGCCCCCAAGAGATGGCAACCTTTTTGGGGTTCAAGGTTTCGAGGACCCACCTCGTATATGTGTATTTATATACATGTATATATGTATGTATGTATGTATGTATGTATGTATGCATGTATGCATGTATGCATGTATGCATGCATGCATGCATGCATGAATGCATGCATGCATGTATGTATGTATGTATGTATGTATGTATGTATGCATGCATGCATGTATGTATGTATGTATGTATGTCTGTATGTATGTGTGTATGTGTGTATGTATGTATGTATGTATGTATGTATGTATGTATGTATGTACGTACGTACGTATGTATGTATGTATGTATGTATGTATGTATGTATGTATGTATGTATGTATGTGTGTGTATGTTTGTATGTATGTCTGTCTGTATGTATGTATGTATGTATGTATGTATGTCTGTATGTATGTATGTCTGTATGTATGTATGTATGTATGTATGTATGTATGTATGTATGTGTGCATGCATGCATGTATGCATGCATGCATGTATGTATATATGTATGGATGTATGTATGTATGTATGTAGGTAGGTAGGTAGGTAGGTAGGTATGTATGTATGTAGGTATATTTATACATATACACCTATATTACATATACAATATATATATATATATATATAATATATATTTATATATATATATATATATATCCCCGTGCACGACGCCCGGGCGCCCAGGGTGGCTGCCCCGCGGGGGCATGAGGGTACCAGGGCTAATTTTCCATGTGTTTTTACATGGCTTCCGCGTCCTGGGCCTCAGAGGCCGCCGCCTCCGACCCCCCGTGGGAGGACGGGGCGGCCGGGGAGGTCCAACATAGTCCAGGAGGGCCTCCAGAGGCTCCCAAGACGGCCCAAGCGGGCCCCGAGTCGTCGAAAGACCGCTCCAGGACGCCCAAGCTGGGCCTAAGACGGCCCGAGAGGCCCCCCAAGGCACTCCACGACGCTTCAAGACGCCTCTCCAGAGCGCTTCAAGAGGCCGACATCGTCAATTTTACGAAGGTTTTCGAACGATTTTGGCCTTCCAGCCTTTTCGGCTGTCCGACGTTCCAAGACGGCTCAATAGGCCCCAGAGAGCGCCCCAAGACGGTCCAAGAGGGCCCCAAGACGGCCCCAGAGTCGCCCAAAACAGCCCAACAGAGCCCCAAGACGGCCCCAACATGCGCCCAAGAGGGGACCATGACTCCAAAATTCGACCCTCCCGTTTGAAGAGTGCCCCAGGAGGCCCCAAGGAGCCCCCAAGAGGCCTCATGGGTGTCGGTTTGGATCTCGTGGTTGGCCTGTCGGGGACGTCGTGAAGGCAGTTTCGCAGCTTCTCCGTAGCCGTTTTGGGACCGTTGTGGGGCCTCCTCGGGGCTGTTTTGTTGCCTCTTTAGGCATCGTATTTTGGCCTCCTGGGTGCCTCTTGGGAGCCTCCTGGGGCCTCTTGGGGGCTCCTTGGGCCTCCTGGGGCACTCTTCAAGCGGGAGGGTCGAATTTTGGAATCGTGGTCCCCCTTTTGGGCGCATGTTGGGGCCGTCTTGGGGCTCTGTTGGGCTGTCTTGGGCGACTCTGGGGCCGCGTTGGGGCCCTCTTGGGCCGTCTTGGGGCGCTCTCTGGGGCCTATTGAGCCGTCTTGGAACGTCGGACAGCCGAAAAGGCTGGAAGGCCAACATCATTCGAAAACCTTCGTAAAATTGACGACTTCGGCCTCTTGGAGAGGCGTCTTGAAGCGTCGTGGAGTGCCTTGGGGGGCCTCTCGGGCCGTCTTAGGCCCAGCTTGGGCGTCCTGGAGCGGTCTTTCGACGACTCGGGGCCCGCTTGGGCCGTCTTGGGAGCCTCTGGAGGCCCTCCTGGACTATGTTGGACCTCCCTGGCCGCCCCGTCCTCCCACGGGGGGTCGGAGGCGGCGGCCTCCGAGGCCCAGGACGCGGAAACCACCCCAGGAGGCCCCCAAGAGGCACCCAGGAGGCCCAAACGAGGCCTAAAGAGGCCACAAAACAGCCCCGAGGAGGCCCCACAACGGTCCCAAAACGGCTACCGAGAAGCTGCGAAACTGCCTTCACGACGTCCCCGACAGGCCAACCGCGAGATCCAGACCAACACCCATGAGGCCTCTGACCCACCACCCAGGGCACTGTGGCGGGAGCAGTGACAGCACTTGTGCATAGCATGTTCCGGCGGGAGCCTTCCGGAACACGCTGCAGGAGGAGGAGGAAGATCAGGAGGCGAGAGAGCTGGAGTGGGAGGAGGAGGAGGGGGACGAGGAGGAGGAAGAGGCCTCCAAGACAGCTCCAAGATAGCCGAAGAGGCTTCCAAGAGGGCCCTGGGCGGCCCACGAGGGCCCCAAGGCGGTGCCTGAGGCGCCCAAGAAGGCCCGAGAGAGCCCCAAGATGGCCCCAAGAGAGGCCCAAGAAGGGAAACACAAACTGAGAATCCGAGCTTTCTACCCCGAGAGGTTCTCGGGAAGTCCCAAGAGGCCCCCAATCGGATCCAAGAGGCCCCCAAGAAGCTCCCAAGAGGGCCGACGAGGTTCCAAGAGATCTCCCAAGGTGGCCCCAAGAGGCACAACTCATTGTTTTACGATTGGGCTTTGACGGGTTTTAATGGTTTCGGCCTTTTGGCATCCCGATGCTCCAAGACGGCCCAAGAGGCTTCCAATACCGCTCCAATATAGAGGAAGAGGCCTCCAAGAGGGCCCCAAGACGGCCCGCGAGGGCCCCAAGACGGTGCTTGAGGCGCCCAAGACGGCCCGAGAGGGCCCCAAGAGCCCCAAGAGAGGCCCAAGAAGGGGAACGCGACCCAACAGCAGAGCGTTCCCCCCAAAAGGCCCACAGGAGGCCGCAAGAGGACCCCCAAAGCTTCCCGAGGGCCCAAAAGGCCCCTAGGCGACGTCCAAGAGGTTCTAAAATAGCCCAAGAGTGCCCTCGATGCGTCAAAACTGCTTCCAGGAGGCCCCGGGGAGGCTTCCGGATTGCCTCAATCTGGCCGCAGGTGGCCTCAAGTCTGGCCTCCACGCAGCCAAGACTGCCATTGACGGCTTCAGATTGCAGAACCGATGCTCCCAAGGGACCCTCAGACGCCCCCCCAAGAGGCACCCAAGAGGTGCCTCCAACAGCCAGTTGACGAAGCATGCGAAACACCCCAGAAGCTCCTCAGATGCCGTCGCGCGCCTGTGTTTGATAGCGTTGTCCAAGATCGTCCAGCGCCCCCCCGGCTTGGGCTAGAACCTGAGCGCGCGCGAAGCGCGCGCGATA